TTGGCAACCTAATTTCAACGAGCGGCTGTGAATCAATTTCACAGCCAAATTATCCCAAGTCGGGTGTTTTGTTTTGCCAGTAAACTGAGCTCGTTAAACGCAACACCTCGTGAAAAGCAGGAAGGCAAAGACATAAAATACCGTATTATTGTAAATAGTTATCTATATTTCTATATCTCCTGGCATTGTGTAAACTGTCTGAGGAGTACTTGATTAAAGATTAAAGACCCATGCAACCACAACACTCGGCTTGTTTTTTACAGAAATAATTTCCGACCAACAAGATTCAAGGGATATGTGATTTATTCACCAAGGCGCGCAGCGGCGAGGTGAAACACAGTCAAAATATAGAAATAATTCTTAATGCCATATTGCCTTCGTTATTGTGTTTTTTTTTTTGGCGATTATTAGAGCGGAATATTGAATATATTCCCCGGTAAGAACAAAGGAAACCGAGCAGGGGAAAAATAAGTAAAGACCTGCACCGCCATATAAGAAATCGTTCAATATGGATATGTTTTTGGGGAGACTTCTAATATTAAAGTGAAATAAAGAAATATTATCATAACAGGAGTACTTGACTACTTGTCAAATAGCTGGTTGAGCTTAGGTAAAGAGTAATATTCAGAATTAAGGGTACTTGCTACTTTGTCCATCCATCGTTGCATATTATATTGATATATATTTTAGAATTATGGATTAAGTATATGCACATGTTCATTGGAACTGCAATCGACGAAATTTTTTAACTCTTCGTCAGTAGTCAAACAGTGTACAGTAGAGGATTCTGCTTGGCGATGTAAGATTTTTCCGTTGACAGTCCACAAAAAATTATAGCCAAAACGGCGCTTTCTAGTCGCTTTCTATAATATAACCAGTCATGGAATCGTTAATGAAAATCTTTGTTGATTGGGCGATACGGAATTGCCAATTTGGGCATTTACTGAAGGCAGACTATTTGACAATTTTCCATTAAGCTTTTGTCTCTTCTTGTAGATATTTTCACGAACGTCGCGGCGTACAAATTTGACGATAATACAATTATGCATTTTCTTCGTGGGGGGAAGCCTGTGAGTCGTCGATATATCATTTTCAGTAATTTGAAATCCTAAAACTGGTCCAAGTTCCGTGATGAGCTTTTTTGGGTTATCGTCAGCCAAGATTGGTATGCCCGTTATCTCTAAACAGTCACGCCTTTGCCATTGATTGATTTCATCATTGGCGACATGTTTACCCTCATTGTGACATTCATGCACTTGAGCGTATCGTGAATGACGAATTACAGAAGGTTTGTTTATGGCTGGAGGCTAACAAATTAACACTAAATATTAGTAAATCAAACTATGTTATTTTCCATCCATATCAGAAAAAAACAAATTATAATCCTCAAATAATTGTCTATGATTCAAATTCCAAAACATTCTTACCATTGCAAATTAAATCCAATGTCAAATATCTTGGATTGTTTATAGACTCAAATCTAACATGGAAAGTTCATATTGACCATATCTCACTAAAGATTAGTAGAGCTGTTGGAATCATTGCTAGACTTAGACATTTCGTACCTAAACACACGTTGCAAAGGATTTATTATGCTCTGCTTCATCCATATTTAAATTATGTCATATCAGTTTGGGGTCAAGCGTGTAAAACGCATCTCCACCACCTTCTCGTCCTCCAGAAACGGGCTATTCGACTAATGAATTTTGCAAGTTTTGAGAACACGCTGTACCGATTTTCAGTGCTTCTGGAATACTTCCAGTTAACTTTCTTTGTTTTTACAATGTTGCTTGTAATATGCATGACATTATAAATGAAAGGGCGCCCATCAACATGTCATCATTCTTCACTACTATTAGTGAAAATCACAACTATAATACAAGATCTGCTGTTCGCGGTAATCTTTATCAAACTAAGTCAAGGTTGCATATTACACAAAAATCCTTTGCTAACGCTGGTGTTAAAGTTTGGAATGCTCTATCTATCTCACTCCGTTCGTTAAATAAACATAGTTTTACAACACGTTGCAAGATAATTCTTATCAATACCATGATGGCTTGTGATGATTACGTTGATTTCGCCACAATAATGCAAACTGTTTCGGGGATGTGATTAGGCAATTTTGTTTTTGTTTTCAATATTTCCTTTCGATTTGAATTACGATAATTTATACTATTAAGATAAATTGATACACTATTTATCAATCAATTGAAAGCCACCTACCTCGAATAGCTTTCTAAATGTAGGTGGTTTCTTGTAAATTATTTTGAAAAATTTATTTAATAAAGTAGTAGTAGTAGCAGTAGTAGCAGTAGCAGCAGTAGTGTGAGAATATGATGCTGTCTTGATCTTTCAATTTTTGTTCGATTTGTTGCAATTTGCTTCTTAGTCGATTGGATAATCTCCATTATTATCTGGTCATATTTTGACTCGCCATAGTAAGTTGTTCGTTTCAGGCATTTCGAGTTTAATCACAGATGAAACTTAATGGGACGACACTGATAATTCTTTCACACACATTTATGTTCACGACGATTTTGTTTAATTACACTACGCAAGCTACGTTTGGCACTCATTACTTCTATGGCGAATAAATAGGCACTTTGGCACTTATTATTCTATTGAGAATAGATATAGATGTATACATCGTATCCATGATGTTTGAAAGGCATAGCTTAAAAGTGGACGGATATTCCGCTATCGCTCCAAAAGTGTTTCAAAAAACAGTTAGAAAAGCAAAGAAAAGCAAGTAGGAATGGCGAATATAAGCTAATAAAATATGTCAAATATCATCACCACACAAGATATGAAGCCACAATGTGTCCTGCTCAGATTTTGACATCTCAACCAAGCAATACAATACTTTGAAATCACCAATAAGAAGAATATTTAAGGGCGCAGGTCAATGATGCGTCCGACTATCAATGAGGAGTCCGATTGTCTACGGAAAAAAATTTGTGGCGGCGCAAATTTTTTTTCCGTAGACAGTCGGACTCCTCATTGATAGTCGGACGCATCATTGACCCGCGCCCTTAAACAAAACATTCAGCGGATACTATATGGTGCGCTTCCCAGTGTGTCTTGTTTCAACGTCGAAATAGTAACGTCGATCCAATTTGCATAGTCAACCCTTTTTCAACGTCTATCCAACGTCTGGAAGGTCATTTCCAACGTTGATTTAACGTTGGATAAACGTCATTTTGCCCGCTGGGAGAGTTTGCCTGATGCTGATTTGGGTGTCATGAGCAAAATTGCTGCATTTATGTGGAAGAATTGTTCTCAGTATGTGCGGAAAGTAAGTGTCTGGCATATAGGGAATATGTGGGCCATTAAGCCATTTGATCGATTATGCTTTTGCGGATTGTCTCAAAAATGAAAATAACTCATGGATAGGCATGGTAACCGTAAACCTCTGACTATGAACTTTGGGCTGGGTTATACATGATCTTTTGTGTCAGTAATAAACAAGTCAGTCATAAACAGGAAAATAAGCATGTATTAATAACATGCTTTGATTAACATAGCAAGCTATAAAGACAATGAGGGGGAGGGGGGCTTATATTCAGGTGGGGGATTATGTATGTAAAAACTTTATTTACACAGGGTGACCCAATCAGTGAATGTTCACTGTTATCCTTAGGGGCCCTGAAAAATATAGAGTATATCTACAATACAGTTTTATCTAAAATAGTATAAAATTATCTAAAAACCTTACAATAAACTAACTATCTATATGTCCCGATCGACTTAATTAGACTTATTAAAAACCTTGCATCCATAATAATAAAAAGAATTCTTTGCAGATTCAGTTCTTACTTTAGGCAAACGAAGTTTGTCTGATTGTCTTGTTATTCGCGAGGAACTGTCACGATTAAAAACAAAATAATTATTAAAAAATTGTGGACATTTCCGTAGAATACATTTTTTAACCAGTTTGAGAACATGTACGTCTCTTCTTGATTCTAAGCTGTCCCATCTGAGACTTTCCATTGCGTCATCACTTCGCGTGTACCTGGAAATCACTCTGGCAGCACGCTTTTGGAGTATCTCGAGCCTTCCTTTGTTTTGCTCACCACAGCACGTCCAAATACTGTCCCCATACTCCA